TTAAGAAAAAAATATACAACTGAAGTCTTGACAAAAGAATCCTTGCACCTTATTGGCTTGCACCTTGGCTCTGACCAAGTCTCATGACCCTCTCTGAACTAGCCAAGTGGAGGAAATGTTTTGGTTGGATTGGCTGCAGTCACATGCTGAGGGATAGAGTCAACATTGTCTGAACTACATGAGCTCAGAGTAGGCAGGGGATGGTTGCCCATGAGGGACTTGGGATTCTATTTCAATGGTTACATGTCTTGCTATTCTGTTATACCCTGTTCTGGTCACAGGTTCTCTTCCAAACCCTGATGTTTTATCTCAGAAGCAGGACAAAGCAGATGGGGAAAATAATATATCCAGAATTAGAAGTAGCTGTTATGTATGTAAGGGGGTGGGGGTAGCCAGGGAGAGGGCACAGTTTCAGCAGATGCTGTGATGATGTCCAGCCTGGCAGCCCTAACTTGGTATCTAGAGACCAAGGCAGCAGATGAGTCAGGCCAGCAGTCATCACCGAGAGGTTAACATGAAAATTATAATGTAGTAACGGGTAGTTGGGCCACAGTAAAAGAAACCCTAGAAGTGGGAGAGACTTATGTTATATAGAGGCAAAGCACCCCAAGACAGAGAAGGGAGAATCGATCCTAATTACAATGGCTATGGCACAGCAATCTTAATATGCATTGACTCTTGCTTATGAGGCACTGGGATTTGAATGTTACCCACACCCACATGCATAAACCACTATGGCTGAGTGCAGGAGTGGCCAACACTCCACAAGCAGTGTGGGAGAGCAGGGGTTACAGGAAGGGCCAGTAGCGTTGAGTACCTTTATATTCTTTTGGAAACTTCCTTAGGAATATCTAGCTTCCCTTTACACTTCTGTTTTTACAGCAATTGAGCAGACTTTTCAAAAGTCTTCACCCAGGACATCTGGTTTCAGCTCCAACATGTAAAGTGCTTGGAAGTTGTTACTCCCATTCTTACAAGAAAGAAGATGTGTAAACTGAAAATCAACAACTTTTCTTGGACCCGTCAGAGAACTGAGGTCATAGGGCATATCACCACCCCTAAATCTGGAGAGACAGATGAATCCAGAAAGTTGTAGCTCAGACCTCCTTACCTGGAGCAGAAGCCACTGGAAATATAAATTGGTAGAAATACTTAAATGGCAATTTTGATCAATTTCTAGAGCTGAATATGGCCTACTGTAAAAGTAAGAAACTCCTGGGATGCTGCAATCTTAGAGGACACCCACATTTTCGTGGGTTTGACATACAGGAACTCCACAGGTGGTGAAGAGCTGAGAAAGATCCCCTTGCCCTCTGGCAGGGAGAAGGAAAGAGTAATCACTGTGAAATATTCCCAGAGCATTCTCCATAACAAAGACATCCTCTCCAGGGCAAAGACTTAGCAGGGCCTTGTCCCACCTGAGGGAAGAGCATTTCTCCCACTCTAGGCCCTTCTAGCCTTTCTGTTTCATCTAAAAAAATAAAAAGCTAAGAAACACTTGTGAAGATCAGAGCCCAGGGATACAGGCCAACTAAAGGACTGAGATCTAATAAGATTATAGAAAAGTTTCTGTCCCCCACATTTTCCATCATGCCAACAGGGCTCCAGTGCAATAACAGTGGATTATAGCTGAAAGAGCTGCAATGTGCGGGCAGACTCTATCTAAGGAGCAGTTCTTAGGGAAGCCCAAAGACAACAGGAAGACGAAAACCAGAACACTAGAAGAACTTGGAACTTCTAGCACCTATGGTTGCCCCAAACATTAAACATGAAATCTCACACTTAGAGACCTATTTACCTCCATTTCTATTATCTAATATATCACCTGGCCTTCAACAACAACTACAAATTATTAGGCTTGCTAAATGGCAAGGGAAAAAATATATCAAAAGAGACAAAGCAAGCATCAGAACCAGACTCAGATAAGATACAGGTTTTGGAATTATCAGAAAGAGAATTTTAAATAACTATGATTAGTATTTTAAGGGTTCTCATGCAAAAAGCAGATATCTGCAAGAGCAAATGGGTAATGTAAGCAGAGAGATCAAAACCCTGAAAAAGGATCAGAAGGAAAAGCCAGACGTTAAACAAAACAGTGTGACAGAAATGAAGAATATCTTTAATGGGCTCATCAGCAGAATGGACAAGGCCAAAGAAAGAATCAGCAAGTTTGAAGATGGGTTGGTAGAAAATTCCCAAACTGAAATGCAGAAATTATTCTGTCAGTTAAGGACTTGTAAGTTTCCCCCAGTTTTGTCTTCATGAAGCATTGCTATTACTCTGTTAGAGAATTAGGTCCTGTGATGGCTTTCGTAGGACTGCTGGTCTTGTGGGAGCTTAACTCACTGCTCAGCTCTGCTCGGGAACCCGCAGTAACATGCACACACCTTCTCACCTGATTGCATAGTCTGGGCAATCATTGCTCCAGTGTTTCTGATTGATTTATGCTGCAATTAATAACAGGGGGCAAGGTACCACTCAGGGGAGGGAGCCAGCAGCAGAGCTGGCATTAAGGAGGTCTGTCTGACACCATACTGTATTTCAGAGACCAATTCCAGCTGAGAAGTGACAGGGGAGCATGAGACAATGCATCCATCTTGAAGAACTGGTGTAGGAACAGATTGTCAAGGCAGGGACCCAACTGGGCACAAGGTGGGGATATAATCTAAGAAAGAAGGTATTACAGGGACCACTGAGCTCCTGGCTGAGGCTCCCCCAAATTGATACCAAACTCACAGGTTCAGCTGCCTGCCTCCAGACAAAAATCAGACAAACATTAAATGCTGGTGAAGATGGAAGCCAGCTTTTATTCAAGAATACCAGTGACCTGAGGAGAGATGTCAGGCTAAACCATCTCCCCAGTAAACGTGAAGGAGAACGACCAGGCGAAAGCCATCTAAAAGACTCAGATTTACTGAGGGGTTTTTAAAGAAGAGGAGAGAATGGAACACAGGAAATGAAAAGCAGAAGGGAAGGGGACATGAGCTATGAAGGGCCCATGTCTATGAATCAGATACAAAGTCTCACCAAGGCTTCGTCTGGTTTCTGCACCCATCTTTGCTGTTATCTCAGGGTCTGGATGGTATGTGCGAGTACACAGCTTCAGGCTGACTGGAAAATAACTTTACATTCATTTAAATAATGTCATCTTGCCCCATATCCAAGGTCCAAAATATCAAATAACCATGGGAAAAGATGAAACTCAGAGAAATGCATGCCAAGAAAAAACTGCCCTTTCAAAATCTTTTAGAGTACATGTGGTTTTAGGTCCCAGCATGGCTTCAGTCCTGCTCACTCCAACCAAGGGAGCACCTGAGTTGTCAGAAATGGGGCACAAAGACTGGGTCAGTGAAGCAACAAGGGTGAGTGACTTCCAGTGGAGTCCCACCCACAGTGACATACAGGAGCTCTTCAGAAGCCTCCCATCTGCCTGATGCAAGGTTGTACCAGAGCCCAGATGTCAGGGTGGACCTGAGTCTGTAAATGGGCTCAAGTGCTACTGACATGGAGAAAGGATTTGGAAGCCAGGCACAGCCTGCCACCTGCTCATGCCTTCTGTGGTTGAGCCCCGGGCACTGACTCACAGACTGCCCTGCTCTGGGACTTACTTTTTTGGCTCCATGTTGAGATTCCCAAGATTTGCCAAATGAAAGAATGTGACAGAACTTCTGCTTTTGATCTTCCTGGGTTTTTCTTATCCTATCACCCCCCGACCCCCGACCCCCTCCCAGCAATCCCCTCCCACCATAAGTGTCTGTGATGGTTACTTTTATGTGTCCACTTGGCTAGGCCACGATGCCCAGCTGTTTGATCAAACTGCAGTCTAGATGTTGCTGTGAAGACATTTGTAAGATGTGATTCACATTTGCAATCAATAGACTTTAGAAAAGCTGATTACCCTGTGATTACTGGATGGGTGGGCCTCGTCCAGTCAGTTGAAGGCCTTAGGAGCAAAGACTGAAGTTTTCAAAAGAAGAAGCAATTCTGCCTCAAGACTGCCACAAGACTGCCTGAGCTTCCCACCTGCCGGCCTGCCCTACAGATTCCAGACTTGCTGACCTTTCAGTCACCAATTCCTCAAAATCTCTCTCTCACGTGTTCTGTCTCTCTGGAGAACTCTAATACAGTGCCTCTACAAATCTTTTGAGAGGAAAGAGTTAATCGTTTTGCAATAAATTCAAGCTCACATTTTTAACCAAAGTGGAATTCTTTTCCATGAAAAATCATCATTCTATCCATTTATCTGACAGTGGTATTAACAAAAGATATATATTTCATTCAACTTGCTGCTTTTCATTAATTCTCAGCTTCACATAGTTGCAACAGGATGTTATCCTCTAGCATGTTGACATTAAAATGAATGCTTATTTTTAGAGAAGTCATTACAACCCTGGTCAACCATTTCTAACTGTAGCCATCTGAGGGTTCCCACATCCTCCACAGCTGTTGACGCCCCTGTGGAGGAAAGCGATGGCCAGTGTAAACCAGGAACAATCACCAAGCACAATTACATTGGCTCACCAGCTAGTGGAACCAACTGATGGAACTGGAATTTCACGTCTACTTCTGCTTTTTGTTTTGTTTTGTTTTTAGAAAAGAGAGAAAAATATAAGATGCTACCAATTGACAGTCTCAGGAACATGCTGGCAAATACGAGTGCCCTCACTTTCAAAGTACCCCCCCTGGAGAAGCCGACAGAAGGCTCCCCCTCTGTGGACTCTGTTATTTATCAACTGGAGTCTGGTGTGGATGGCTTTCATACCTCAGCATGACACAGTATTTTGTTTTACTTTTTAATAGTGTCCTTTGCTAGAAAATGTGAGTGTTTTTGTTGTGGTGGTGGTAGTGCTTATTTTAAACTAAACTCTCATGTTAATTTAGAATGTTCCCAAGGGGCTGGCACCTACATACAGGATTCTGTAGACCACACGTCAAAGGCAAACATAGACTATTACAGCAACGACAGAACACAAACGCGTCTAAATTTCTAACCATGTATCTTTTAACAGATAGACTCATACTTTATTTTGACAAATTTAAGATAGAAAAATATCATAATGTGAATATAGCAGTCGCTTTCTGTGACATGGTTTGGAATGTGCAGTGAGACTTGAATTGCTTTCAAGATGGTCTCCCTTCTGGTTGGGCTTCAGTTAATACTGTATTATATGTCAGCCATTGCATTTGCTTAAAAGAATACCGGACACAGTAAAACTGGTTTTTAAAAAGGTTATGGCATTCAGTAATAAATAGTATAAAGCGATGAAACAAAACAACTTTTAAAATATTTTTATAATTACTAAATGCAAACTTTAGACTTCATGATGAAAGCTAAGAACTCATATTTTCAAAATAGCTTTGACATTTTCTACCAATATATAATAGAATAATAGAGCACTTATTTTAAAAAAACAAGCGAAGAAAGATTAGAGTAAACATATTTCAGATGACTATAAACAGTAAACATCAATTCAGTGTATTTATATGTGTCATTTCAACAATACACTCTTTGCCCAGCTGGCAATAAAAACTGTGGTTTTAACTATCATCAAAAATGTGCCCCTGAATGTCATCTTTGAGCTTATTAAGTGCTGTCATCATTTCTGCATTCCATCTTCAGAGGGGGCGGTTGAGGGACTCTTGGTACATGCAGACATTTGGTTATGGTGATAACGACCAAAAATAAAAGTGCCAGGAGTCGGAAGCTGAAACCGCTGCCTTACTTTCAGCACCTCCCATCCTTTTGTCTCCGTGATGCCTCAGGTAGTCACGCTAAATAATTCACACACGTGCTAATTTTGTTGCTCTCAGTCGCTTTCAGCTTCTTTCTTTGCTTCCCCTCCCCTCTCCTCAAGGAATAAAACTGGGAGGCCCCTCATGAAAATGTTATTTCTAACATATAAGTGTATGTACATATGTACACACATGCCTTTGCTTTTCAAGGACTGGGTAACTCCTCGTTTTCTATCAAGTAATCCTTCCTCATGTACTTGGTTCCCCTAACTAACCTCCACACTTCCAGGTAAGCGTCCTTCAAGGACCTCTTGCCGCCTTCTCCACAGCTATCTGAGATCTGCAAGCTCCCAGCCCCCAGCGGGACTCCTCTGGGGCTGCCCCTCGCCTCTTGACCCCTCTGCTGAGCGGAGCCACCTGCTCCCTGCCCACCTGCTGACCTGCCATTTCCACCCTCCCCGGGCAGCTCCTCCATAACGAAAGGCAGCTGGTCTCCACTTGGCTGCGCCTCTAGGTCCTCATAGTTGCTTCTCTTTTTGGTTTCCACGAATTTAGCCACACAGTAAATGATGGAGCCCAGCGTGTTCACCACGACGCCGGCAATGAACAGAGAGGTGGGCTCCACGTCGCTGAAGGCCACCATGCCCACCGTGATGGTGGCGATGCTCTTCACCACGCCCACGAAGCTGGTGGTCACGGCCGAGTTGATGTAGGTACAGTGCAGCGTGGTGAAGTTCATGGCGCAGCCGATCAGGATGCAGGCCACGAAGATACAGACCATGGCCGGATCCTTCCAGCCGGGAAAGGCCCAGGCGTGGATGGAGTCGGTGCTGGCGAAGGAGAAGACGACGAGCAGCGGAGTGGCGGAGACGGCGATGACATACTGCGCGGTGAGCGGCCCGTGCTCCGTGTCCGCGCTCGCCTTCTGGATGAGCACCAGGTAGGCGGCGTGCACCAGCACTGCCAGCACGCCCGTGACGTATCCCATGGGGTCGCCAGTCAGGTCGCCGGCTCCTAGAGCGCCAGAGGAGGTCAGCGGAGCCCGGAAGGGAAGGGAAAAGAGAAAAGACACCGGGTTGGCGCGGGTGGGTGGCCTCGGAGGCAACGCGTCGGGTTGGAAAGTAGACGGGGTTCGCGCCCCAGCTCTGCCCACCGAATTCCTAAGTGACCTACAGATGCTTGCTTGCCGTGCCTAGGCTACCGGTGTAAAATGCGACAGCCAAGCTCAGTCAACGCCAGGTGAGATGCGTAAGGAGAAGCGCCCTCCCTCCCATGTCCCCGGGTCACTCCATCTCCCTCTGTCCACGACAAAGGCTCGGGGGAGCGCACATACCCTCGGGGTAGGCGCTGCAGCTTCCCCCGGCTGGCAATGAGGAGGCCACCCGGGCACGTGGTGCCTCTACTCACCCCACCCCACCCCGGTTCAAGGAGCACCAGAAGGGAGAGGGACTCCTGGCTAGTGGCCTCTAACGTGGAGCTGGCCAGGCGCAGGGCCAGGAACATCTCCCCCTCGGTCCCGGGAAGATTTACCGCTCCTCCGGCTCCCATCTCGCTGGGGAGGCTTTACGCGAATACGGAACTAAAGTTGCTGAATCACTGGGACCCGGAAGGGCGAGGCTGGCAGCTACGTGCCGTTGAGCGCTAGTGAAATGGTGGTCGCGGAGCACATGAACTGGCGCCCGTGCGCGTCAGGGCGCATGCGCGCAAAGTTATGCCCAACACAAGGGGTCCTGAAGATACAATCTGGGCAGACTGTGAGCACTTTCAAGGCTGTGAGCAACCTTCACCAACTGGAGCATGGCAGGTTATAGACACAAAGCGGGCGCGGCGCCAGACGCCCCAAACTAGCCCCGGGAGCCAAGCCTCGCTGCCACCCCACCCCCATTCCAGCCCCTCGTGACCCAAGGAAGTTCACGGCCCCCTCCTTCCGGCTCTGTCCAGGGGTGGAGGACTCCAGCTCTCAGGCTCAGGCGGCTCTCCCACCTCTCCCGGAGGAAGGGGTGAAGGGGGAAGACTGGGGGTGGGGGCGGCGGGACGGGAGATACCGGGTGAAGCAGGGACGGGGGTCGGAAGCGGGGATCCTGAGGCGGGGAGAGAGATCTCAGGGAGGAGGCTGGAGTGCTGGGAAGGCTCCGCTGGATCTCAGAAGTCCCTTTTGCGAGCCGAGCGACCACTCTCACAGCCCTCCGCCTCTCTCTGCCTCAGTCTCCCCATATGGAAGTGAGGGCATTGCACTAAGGGGTCCCCGCGGCCTCTGCTCCGTGGGGTGGGGTGGGGTGGGGGTCGGCGCGGGTCCCGCTCACCTGCCAGGGCGGCGCCGCAGGTGGTGATGAGCACGGCCGCCAGCACCCCAGGCGAGGGCGCGCCGTTCTTGAGCACCAGGACGCCGATGAGCATGGTGACCAGGGGCAGGCAGCGCTTGAAGACCACGTACATAGGCAGGCTGAGGCCACGCAGGGACCAGAGCGTGAGGCTGGACTGCAGCGTGGAGAGCACTGCGACCCCCGCGAAGGCGCGCGCCAGGCTCAGGCCGAAGGGGGGCACGGCGATGAGCCCGAGGCGCCGCAGCAGCTCCAGGCTCAGCGCCGCGGTGGAGCTGGTCAGGCACTGCACCAGGGTCAGGAAGGAGAACTGGTAGCGGCTGATGAGGAACTTCAGCAGAATGTTGAGGGAGCCCGAGAAGACCCCGTGCGCGATGGCCACCGAGATGCCCAGCACGCGGCCCCGGCACAGCCGCCGCATCGCGCCAGCCCCGCGGCACCCGGCGGTGGCGGAGCTCCGGGACCTGGGGGAG